CAGATCTGCAGATGACATGAAGCTGGGTGGGACTGCTAATTCTGAAGAAGACAGAGCCCGGACCAAGCCATTCCAAGTGGACTTTGCAGTCTTGGTAGCCCACAGTGGCTTATTTCAAGGCAGTTCTAATATTCCAGCCCAACTCTGTTTAACCTGTCACCACCAATTACAGCTGTTATGAATGATCACTCTCCTGGTCTTAAATACTTTGGAGTTTTGCGAAGAAGTGTCACAGGCTGAACCTCAAGCATTTCTTGGGCTTTTGCCTCCACTGTTGACAGATGTTTCCCCCCCTTCTCTCTGCTGTACGTGAACTTTACTGACTGTGGTTTGATTTCATACATCTGATCTGACAAGGTGGACTTTCTAGACCACAAGGGCTTTGGCTTCGCTAAGTTGGTTAGTCTTTGAGGTGCCACGAGACTTCTTTTTGCAGATGTTCCAGTGATTGCACCAGGGGTCGTTTTGTAGAAAAAGAGCTAGGGGAACTCATTAGCATAACTCATTAGCATATGCCACACCCCCTTACATCACCGGAAGTGTGTCATAAGGCCACACCCCCTGACATCACCGGAAGTATGTCATAAGGCCACACCCACCACTCAGTTAGTCTTAGTCTTAAAGGTTAGTCTTAAAGGTGCTATGGAGAGGCAGGGAGGAAGCAACTTACCCTCCCTCTTCTCCTGCCTCCTCCTGGCTGAATGAGGGCCGGAAGCGGGGTGGCCGGAAGCAGGGGGCGGGGCTTCGTCATGTGCCCCGCCCCCCGTACCTCACCCGGGGGGACTGCGATCCCCCGCGATCCCCCCCGAAATGATCTTTGGATTGCGCGCACACACACACACACACACACACACACACACACACACACACACAGAGTGGCTGGAACTACTGTATAGATTTTTTGACTCTGCAGAATGCTTGAGTATTCTAAGCAGTGCTGCTGATGGGCTATTTTCCCCTCTCCCCACAGGTGCCTGCTCAAGGAGCTTACAGTTTATATTTCAATAGTGTAAAAGAGGGTGGTGGAGGAGAAACATGAAAATACACTGAGAGGATTGTTATTCATCACAGAGAACCAGTTTGGTGTAGTGGTTAAGTGCGGGGACTCTAATCTGGGAGAACCGGGTTTGATTCCCCACTCCTCCACTTGCAGCTGCTGGATGACCTAGGGCAAGCCATAGTTCTGTCAAAGCTGTTCTCTCAAGCACAGTTCAGGAAAGAGTTCTCTCAGCCCCGCCTACCTCACAGGGTGTCTGTTGTGAGGCGGGGAAGGGAAAGGAGTTTGTAAGCCACTCTGAGACTCCGAGTGGAGGGCAGGGTATAAATCCAATCTTTTCTTCTTCTTCTTCATTTGGCAATGGTGGTGGTGGGGGTTAGTATTATATGCATTATGCTGAACTGGGGTAGCATAGAGGCAAATGCAGTTGGGCATCCATTTCTCTAAATGTCTGGTTTTCTAGATGCTTTCATAGTCTATCTCCTTCCAATGTAAGTGCATTGCATATGGGAAATGGAACTAATTTGGAGGGTTTGGTTTAAGTTTTAAAATGTTAAATGTATTATTGCCTTTTCTCATGTCGTCTTGATGTTATCATTTTGCTGGCTTTAGTGTTTTTTGCTTATTAGCTTTGAAACATTCTTTGGCTCTCTATTCAGTTGGCTGCTATAATTTTACTAGTACTGGTCTGAATTATTTTATGAGTCGTTTCATAAATTTTTAATTGCTGATAGTTATTTTAAGTGTTCTGGCTTTATGACTGATTGTCTGATGTCGTTGTAAGCTGTCTGAGCAGTATGTTATGTGATTTCAGATTCGGGACTTAATTGTTGGGGTGGGCTTTGTTGTTAATGTCCATCATTCTGGAAACAACAGTTCCCATAATACACTGGGGGATAGTAGTTAAGGAACAAAGCTCGTGGTGAACTCTATGGCACTCACCCGTCTTTAGATACAGCCTACATTTGCCCTTCCAACCAATGCTCCCTCTTAGCTGTGTAGTCTTGTGCAGGGGTCATTTTGTAGAAAAAGAGCTAGGGGAACTCATTAGCATAACTCATTAGCATATGCCACACCCCCTGACATCAGGGGCCCGGCAGTGGACCTGCAAGGCCAGCGGGAGTGCGAGGAAGCCCTGCAAAGGCCCTCCCTGGCCCCAGGCAGGCAGGGGTGGGGAGAGGCGGGGAGGAAGCAACTTACCCTCCCTCTTCTCCTGCCTCCTCCTGGCTGAATGAGGGCTGGAAGCGGGGCGGCCGGAAGCAGGGGGCGGGGCTTCGTCATGTGCCCCGCCCCCTGCACCTCACCCGGGGGAACTGTGTTCCCCCGCGTTCCCCCCCCCCGAAATGACCTCTGGTCTTGTGAGCAAAAATTCTACTTTGTGAGTTACTGGCATTAAAGTTGTGAGCGAGTGATTTGGCTATTGCATAAATTAGTTTGCTCTGGAGCCCTCCTTCCTGAGTTAAGACAACAATGTGTGAGCCAGAGGCTAAAAAACGGTGAGCTAGCTGCCAACCTAGCAGTTCGAAAGCAAGAAATTGCAAGTAGATAAATAGGTACCACTTCAGTGGGAAGGTAACAGCGTTCCGTGCACCTTGGTGTTTAGTCATGCCGGCCACATGACCACGGAAACGTCTTTGGACAGCGCTGGCTCTTCGGCTTTGAAACGGAGATGAGCACCGCAACCCTAGAGTCGGACTCGACTGGCTTTCGAGCAAGGGAACCTTTACCTTTACCTTTAGCTCACAGTAACGCAGGGCGATTCTGCATCTGGCATTTGCTCTACATTTTCTCAAGACTGAGGAAAAGGTAAGCCGCCCTGAGCCGCTTCGGCGGAAGGGCGGGATAGAAATCTAACAAATAAAATAAATAAATAAATAAAACCACATTCAGATACCTCAGGGCAACTCCGTACTTACTGCAAAGTCACCCCTGAATGGCCATAAATCTATGCAGAAGGTACCATGAAACCCGATGATCAAAGAAAGTGAAAGCAGCGTACAGTGTACAGCAGAGGTTCCCAAACGTATTTGGCCTACCACCCCCTTTTCAGAAAAAAAATTACTCAGTGCCCCCCGGACATCCACCTTCAAGAAGTGGACAAAAAGTTGCAGTTTGTGGATCTGCACCCGGATCATTCCAACCCACGTGGATTGTTCCAGCACCTCCGAGGGGACCGTATTGCCCACTTTGGGAACCAGTGGTGTAGAGGGTACCATCAAACCTGATGATCAAAGAAAGTGAAAGCGGCACGCAGTGCAAAGGGGAATTTCTGTTCCTTGGTGGGTTTGGTAAACCAACAGAGGGAAAAGCCAATGCAGAATCACCCTTAGAGGGAACACTGCTCCCAACCCCTTTGAGCCAGAGTGGTTGGGACTCTGGACTTTCACCCTGAAGTCCAGCCCTGCTGGTACCACTCTACTACAAACAGAGGTCCATCAGTGGCTATTAGCCACAAGGTATAGATAGGAACTCTCAGTCTGGGGCAAGGGGTGCTCTGTATTCTCAGTGCTTGGGGGGGGCAGTGGGAGGGCTTCTAGTGTCCTGGCCCCACCGGTGGACCTCCCGATGGCACCTGGTATTTTTGGCCACTGTGTGACCCAGAGTATTGGACTGGATGGGCCATTGGCCTGATCTGACATTGGCTTCTCTTATGTTCTTATGAGATCTCCAGGCCCCACCTGGAGGTTGACAACCCCGGTTCAGAGGCCCACAGCAAAAATACACATTACATCACATGAACACCTTGTTTAGGTAGCTCCAGGAGGGGACCTCCTGATGGCACCTGGTATTTTTGGCCATTCTGTGACAGAGTGTTGGACTGGATGGGCCACTGGCCTGATCCAACATGGGCTTCTCTTACGTTCTTAAGCACATTTGCTCTGGAGAGGCAGCAAATCAGTAACATGAATAAAGTACAGACACAGAGGGTTGCCAGCTCCGGCTTGTGGAATTCCTGAAGATTTGAGGGCAGTGCCTAGGTAAGGTGGAGTCTGAGGAAGGAAGGGAGTTCGACAGGGATGTGGCACCACAGAGCCCGCCCACAAAAGTGAACGACCCTTCTGTCAGCTGGAGATCAGTTGTCATTCCAGGAGAACTCTAGGCCCCACCTGGCGGTGGGTCACCCTAACAATCAAACTTATTTATCCAAGCAATAGAAAGTGGGGACAGAAATCCAGCCTGGGTCTGGAGCAGTGCAATCCTAAACAAGATGGATTGGGCGGCACACCGTTCTAAGCCTGTTGATTTCATTGGTCTTAGAAGCAGGGCTTTTTTGGTAGAAAAAGCCCAGCAGGAACTCATTAACATAATAGGCCACACCCAACAGCAAAACTCATTAGCATATTAGGCCACACCCCTGATAGCACAGCTCATTGGCATATTAGGCCACATACCTCCATGTTACCAGAAGTGTGGTCATCCAGTCACACCCACCTTTTGCTTCTTATTTTGTTTACTTTGTTGTCAAAACCCTGGGCTTTTTTTGTAGCAGGAACTTATTTGCATGTTCGGCCACACACCCCTAATGTAGCCAATCCTAATGAGTTCCTGCTGTTGGGTGTGGCCTATTATGCTAATGAGTTCCTGCTGGGCGTGGCCAACTCAGGAGCCAGACGGAACTCCGTTCCTGTGCGTTCCTGCCCCCAAATAGCCCTGCTTAGAAGGGTGTGACTTCGCTTAGGATGGTGGCTGTTAGTGACAGGGACTCCGGGAATTGTGCCTCAGTCCACCTTAAGTGTTTTGATGTCTGATTTGCTCCTGATGGAGCTCGCAGGGGACTCTGCAAAACTGTCTCTTTTTCTAGGCTGCTTGCTTAAGGGTGCGAGCTACTGCTGGCGAGGCGGGATGCTTTCCCAGTTGCTCACTGGTTTTGATGAGGAGGGAAGTGGTTATTTAGTTCCCTCTTGAGTTACGCTCCAGGGGAGGCGCTGGCCAGCAGAAATGCTGAGTTTAGCTTTCTCTCATGCCCACCACTCTGAATGTTTCCACGTCTCTTCTCTTCCAGATGTTGACGAGTGCCAAGTTCACAATGGGGGCTGCCAGCACAGATGTGTGAACACTCTGGGGTCCTATTATTGTGAATGCAAGCCAGGATCGCGCCTTCACACAGATGGCAGGACCTGTCTTGGTAAGCTTGAGCAGGATTTCATCCATTTCTGACCTCTTGGAGTAATCCCAGGCTGCACAGCTGGGAATAGAATGCCAACCAGAGGGGATCGTACCTTTTCCTGATGAATGTTCTCTGCTGCATGATGCTATGAAATCAAGATAATTATCTTTGTTTACTAAGGATTGCCTAGTTATTGTAGCCCTTCCGGATGGTACGCCTTTGCATACCAGAAGACCAGGAACCGTGCATCGTGCAACCATACAATACCTGCAATGTTGAATATGTTGGAAAATTTGGTAAAAATAGTTCGATATTCAGAGGTTGCAATGGATCTTTGTTCACTGGAGAGGAGGCATTTTCTTTCTATGTAAAAATCTTTATTTTTAAAGGGAAGGGTACACAGGAAAATCTCCAAAACAGCAAACATTTAGGCCACATGCTTGTGACAACAGACACACTGATAGTAATGGAGATTCTTCCTTTCTTCTTGACCCCTAGAAGGAAATCACCTGAATGCATTAACCAATGATTGTTAGTAAATAAGCTTCAGTTTCCTGGGCTTTCCTTCCATTGGCTTTCTGCCAGGTTCCCTTCCAGGCAGGGCCGGCTCGCTCACTAGGTGAACTAGGTGTTCGCCTAGAGTGGGCCGGCCCTTAGGGGCACCAAACTGTACCCCCCGACAGGGCAGCGGCGGCCTCACCTTTAAAGACCATCTCCCAGGCGGGCGCGGGGGGTGTGCGGCTGTCCTTCGGCAGCAGGGTGCGGAGCCGGGCCGGGCCAGGGGCATGGAGAGGAGGCTGAGGGCACAGCACCCCTGGCGGCACGAGGGGCTGCACAGGGCCTCCCAGGCAGTGTCCAGCATGGAGCCCGCGGTCCGGGGAGGGGGCCCATCACTGCCGCCACCCTCCTCCACTTTCTGCTGAATGCCCAGCGGGACATCACGGCCCAACAGGCCCTGTGGAAGGGCACCGACCCACGGGGCGCCAGCACTGGAGGCTGGGCTGAGGAGAGTGACAGAACAGACAACCCCCCGGCCCCCCCCCCCGGGGTGGTTTAGGAGATCTTCCCGGCTCCGCTCCTGGGCGACCGAGGTGGCGGCGGAGGTCTGGAGAGGCACTTCGTGGAGCGACTCACAAGCGCACTCCTCCACCATCAAAACCAGGAGGCGACGCTGATGACCAGGAACAGACCCCGCCCCGTCAGCAGAGAAACCCGGCCCCGCTCTCAAGGGGGAGGCGCCACAAGGCAGCCTCACCTGGGGGGACACTAGTTTCGCCTAGGGCACCGGAAAACCTCGGGCCGGCCCTGCTTTCAGGTCAGTCTAAACAACAGCATACAAGGTAAGCACATTAACCCTATATTGACTGAGCTTTAGACCTTGCAACACACATATTTCCAACAGTCTGGACAGAGGAATGCATATATTTTGTATGCAGCTTTGGCATGCATGAACCAGAACCCTGGAAAACCCAGTGGTCAGTTTGCACATACTGAAACTGGACATGCATGCCAAAGATGCACATTCCCTTATTCAGACAACAAGGCAACTGTGAGTATGGGGAGAACTGCAGGTAGCGGAAACTCATGGTACATGCTGTTGCTGACGTCCTGATGAGCACGTTTGCACCACCTGGAAAGGGCTTATTAGTCTGGGAAATGAAGCATGCTAAACAAGCTCAAAATAGGGTTGTGTATAAGAAGGTGAGGTACATCAACGCACATTTGAGGGCTTTGGGGGGGGGGATAGAAGAAGAGGAACTGCCCTTAGGGGATAGCCCTTAAAAGGTTCTTGGCTTGATTCAGACACCTTGCCATATCGGTCCCTATTCTGACCATAGTTTTTGAACCCTGTTCTTGGTTTGAGCATCCAGATGTACAACAGGTACATTCTGCTTTACAGCTTGTTCTCTGTTATTATTTTCCATGCGGTAGCATCTGGGGCTTGAGCCATTTGCCAGTTTTGGGTGGGCCCACGGGTCTAGTCCGGCTCTTCCACCCACTCCTGTGTCCAGGCTGGCGGGAGAACTGGGAAGTGGCGATGATGCGCCACCAAATGATGATATCACATTTGGGCAAAAATCAGGATGTGACATACCCTGTTTCCCCGAAAATAAGACCTACCCAAAAAATAAGCCCTAGCAGGATTTCTATGCATTTGTGGTATAAGCCCTAGTGTGTCTTCTTGAGAAAAAATAAATATAAGACAGTGTCTTATTTTTGGGGGAACACGGTAGGTGCTTCAGCCAATGCTCTGGAATTTCCTCAAAGATCTGTGGATTTCCTCAAAGCTCTGTGTTGGCTGACTCACTGACATCACGAGAACCAGTCTGGTGTAGTGGTTAAGTGCACGGACTCTAATCTGGGAGAACCGGGTTTGATTCCCCACTCCTCCACTTGCAGCAGCTGACCTTGGGCAAGCCATAGTTCTGTCAGAGTTCTCTCAGCCCCCACCTACCTCCCAGGCTGTCTGTTGTGGGGAGGGGGAGGGAAATGAGGTTGTAAGCCGCTCTGAGACTCCTTTGGGTAGTGAAAGGTGGGGTATAAATCCAATCTCCTCCTCCTCCTCCTCCTCCTCCTCCTCCTCCTCCTCCTCCTTCTTCTTCTTCTTGGGTTTTGCCCTGACATGATGTCGATGTGACATGCAACATCATTTCAGCTTCTTGCTCCGCCCCCAAAGCTCCTGGGAAGTGCCAGGTGGTTGCCTGGCAACCCCAAGTTTGTAACTGTGGTCTGTTCGTTCAGGCATCACGTCAAACCATACTTAGTGCAGAGTCTGGTTTTCAATTCTACTGCAGAACCCTGGTTTCTGATTCTAGTTTGCTAGCCTATCACAAATCATGGTTTCTCAATCCAGACCGTGGCAAATCTTGGTTAAGCTTCCATAACCATGGCTTGACATGATGTGTAAATCGTAACATTGACTCAATGATTTAAACGCTCTCGCCAGTTTATATCAAATTATGTTTCAGAGGACAAGTAGGAATAGCTCTTTTTGCTGGCTTGTTTTCCCGGAATAAAGAGAGGCCTTTGGCTTGGAGAACCAAATTCTTGGAGGGGAAGACAGACTGATGTGCCAAGAAAATACCACAAGGGACTTTCCAGATAATCATTTTTAGCACAAAAAGTGCATTCCATTGCTGAAGCCATCAGAACAGCGACAGTAGCACAATTTTTTTTTTTATTAGGACCAACTAAAAAAATTACAAAGTAGTGAGCCAGTACTTGAGTTCTTCAGGACATTAAAAAAATGGGGGGGAAATGGAGTGAGGGAAAGAGAAAATAAGTGTTGGGGACACGCTTGAAAAAGCCCCGGCCTCCAAATCTTAAAATGGAGAGCCACATTGGTTAGGCCAGAGGTGTCGAACTCATTCGTTACGAGGGCTGGATCTGTCATAAATATCACTAGGTCGGGCTGGGCCATGTGTGCCATAAAACATAATGCCAGGTACCAGAGATATAAACTGTATAAAAGACAGCAGCTTGTAAGCTCCGAGTTGGTGTATCCTCGCTGCAAGGCCCCATGGGCTGGGAGGGGTGTGCAAAGGAAAACCCACATGGGCGGGCTGGATAGGCAGCAGTGAAGCACTAGGCAGACTCTTCCACGATGCTTGACTGTTGCAGATGAGATTGTTCCACCGTGCTGAAGCCACAATGGAGTGACTCCCCCCAGCACTCCCTCTCTTGTACCAGTTGCTTGTGGGCTGCATAAGAGCCCTGGACGGGCTGGTTCTAGGGCTGCAAGGTCCCCCGGGGGGGGGCGGAGGTTCCCCCGCTCAAAGGGTCCCTAATCCGCTGGTCCGGAAAAGGCCGGCGGGGGGAACCCCGCCCCCAACGTGCCTGGTTTGGGCTGACACGCCCAGCTCAATGATGTCACCTGGAAGTGACGTCATCACGTTGGTCACGTCGCCAGCTGACGCTCTAGCAATCAGCCTGAAAACTCTATGGTACCATAGAGTTTCCAGGCTGATTGCTAGAGCGTCAGATGGTGACGTGCCCAACGTGATGACGTCACTTCCAGGTGACATCATCATGGCGTGCGTGCACTTTGCGTGCGTGCAAATGTCCCGGCCAAGGACCAACTCTCCCCCGCTTTGAACAGTAAGTCACTTGGCAACCCTAGCCGGTTCCACCCCCCGGGCCTTATGTTTGACACCCCTGGGTTAGGGTCTAAGAGACCGGCATTCGAATCCCCATTCAGGCATGAAGCTCTTGGGCTAGCCACTCTCTCTCTCTCAGCCTCACTTAACTGACAGGTGAGGAGGATAAAGTAGGGAAGGAAGAACCACGGATGCCACCTTGAGCTTTTTGTGGAAGGCCGGGACAGAAAAAGAGAGACAGGTAGATGGAATGGAGAAAGGGTTTGGTGTGTGGCCAAGACAAGTCGTTTGGATCTTTTTCTGGCACCAAACAAAGCATTTGGGGCATTTGTAAAGGTACACGGTTAGGGGCCAAGTTTTGTGATTTAGGGAGGGGCTCTGGCTCATTGAAAGAGCCTCTGCTTTGCATGCAGAAGGTCCCAAGCTCAGTCTCCAGCGTCTCTGGTTAAAAGGACCAGGCAGTAGGTCATGTGAAAGACCTCTACCTGGGACCCTGGAGGGCTGCCGCCTTGATGAATTGATGGTCTGATTCGGTAACTGATAAACTGATGATCTGGTTCAGTATATGGCAGCTTCATGTGTGTTTGTGCCAGGGCCATCACTCAAATTGCTGAGCAGGTTTTGTGGTGGAGTAATGTAATGGTGTTTCGACCTTTGGTGTGCTGCTCAGAGGCTGTGAGTTGGTGAACCAGGACAGAAAAATAAGTGGTTGTCCTGCTGGCCAAGACACTGCATGCATGGGTCCCCGGTGGTCTGTAAAAATGGTGGGAAGTATTGCATTGGACAACATGCCAGAACAAGGGAATCTTCCCCCCCACACACACACCTCCAGAAGTGCTTTGCTCGAATGCTGTGTATACTTCTGGGACAAGAAAGTACAGCGCACATTGCGATTGAGTTATCAAATCTTTTGGGCAGTAC